ACATTTTTTTAAAAGATTTTATTTATTTATTTGAGAGAGAGAATGAGAGAGAGCACATGAGAGGGGGGAGGGTCAGAGGGAGAAGCATACCCCCTGCTGAGCAAGGAGCCCAATATGGGACTCGATCCCGGGACTCCAGGATCATGACCTGAGCCGAAGGCAGTCGCTTAACCAACTGAGCCACCCAGGCGCCCAATTAATAAACATATTAACTCTTATATGTTATAATAATGAATGCTAACCTACACTATTTATCAAACAGTATAATTTTTCAAGTACTATTTGATACTGGTTTAGCCTATTATATAGTATGACCTTAAGCAAAAAAACCAAAAAAAACAAAAAACTCTGTACCTCAGCTTCCTCATTTATAGAATGGGACAGTAATGGTGACTACTGTTAATGGAATTAATGAGGATTGGAGGCTATATTACACATAAAATAATTAAAATAATGACTGGAACTTAAATGTTTATAAATATCAAGTATTATATTTACAGAAACCTCTGCTAGTTATAAGATGGGCACTGTGAAAGTAATTCAGAATCATCAACAACATTAGAATGGTCTCTTCAAATGCTCTCTATAAAGAGCCAACGCATTCTTCAAGCAGATGCTTTACACTTTGTACACGTGAGCTGCAAGTATTTTTAATATGTACTGTTGTGCTTTTTAAGTAACACATTTAATGAAAAGACAAAAGATTAAAAGTTCATCAAGGAATTAAGAGGGATCAACCTTTTGTTATTATTTTAAAATATTAAAATAACAGAAATCCAAAACAAAACTTCTCCATAATCCCATCACATGATAAAATCAATGTTCTCATTTGTTCATGTTATTTCCTATTCCCCGTCTACATGCATGTTCCTTGTTTACATATTTACAATAATATGGGTAACTTTTTTTTTTTTTTTAAGATTTTATTTATTTGACAGAGAGACACAGCGAGAGAGGGAACACAAGCAGGGGGAGTGGGAGAGGGAGAAGCAGGCTTCCCGCCGAGCAGGGAGCCCGATGCGGGGCTCGATCCCAGGACCCTGGGATCATGACCTGAGTCGAAGGCAGACGCTTAACGACTGAGCCACCCAGGCGCCCCTGGGTAACATTTTATAGTCTCTATTTTCACTTAGTATTATACGTATTTTTCCATTTTGCAAAAATTTTCCCCTACTCTTTCCTTCCTTATCCCCACCCCTTGAAGGTAATCAACAGTAACATGCAGCCTGACATGTAGCCTCCACAACTTTCTCCAAGCTCATACATATACAAGTACAGACACATACGTGGGGAAGGGAAAATGGTCAGTTTTTACAAAAATGGAAGCATGCTACTTATACACATGCTTATCTTTCTTTTAAGCATACCAAACACATATGCCTCAAATTTAATATACAGACAAGTTTGAGAGTGGATACAACTTAGTAGACCATGTAATAACATACACATTTACAAAAGTCATCATTCTGTATGTAAACTTTGAAAAGATATAGGGATTTCACAAAAAAATATGGCCACTAGATTTAGTTAGATCTTGTGCTTCATAAGTTTAATAGCCATGCATAAAATAATTCCACAGATCTCATGCTTCGTAAGTTTATTATAATAGCCATGAACAAATAAATCCACTATTTACAACAAGCCTAACTAATGAATTTTAAAACCTGTATTAGAAAATAAAAGTTTTACAATCTTAAAAAAGTTCACAAATAATATCTCAAAAATATCCCTAACTTTAAAGTAAGAAAGACTACGTGTATATGAACTTCATATGAACTTGGTTCTTAGCACAGATGATTGATGGATATGGTGCTGACCCACCCACATACTTAGCTTCCCCAAGTTCAGAAACTGAAAGACTGGCATTCCAATATAGTCAGAATACAATCAAATCAAACTTATCTAATGAATACCTATTGTTCTAAATGCCCACAAGCATAAAAGTAAGACAGCCGGCAGGCCTACACAGAATGTAAGGTTGTTAACCCACCAAGGGTCTTAAAATACATTCTCCCATCTAACCATAATCCAGAACAATCAGAAGATCCCTAAATCTGAATCCATAGGAGACAATTTTGGAGCATAAAGGATGCTACGGAAGATTTTTACTGAAGCTCCGAAAATTATAAAGCAAATACCTCAGTACCCAAGCCCTACAGCCTCTACTGTAACAGGTGAACTTTCTTACCAAAAATCAATGTAAGTCTTTTTGAATTCCTATTACATGGAAGTCAAAGGTGCTGGAGATGCAAAATGCAATAAAATGGACCCTACCCTAAAAGAACTCACAATTTAGCAGGAGAGCCAGAATGTACTATCCTACATGATCATAAATACCACAGCATAATACCTAGCATACAGTCAAACAACTAGCATAGGTGCTCAGAAACTTTTTGTGACTTTTATAAAGGTCAAAGTAGTTAAGCATCATAAATACAATACCATGTCATCATCAATGCAATTTCAGATTAAATAACCTAAACTTACTACCCAGGCCTATGCAATTTTTTTTAGCTGCCTCAAAGCAGTCAAATTATTAAAAAGATATTGTACTTTTGTACATAGTCCCCACTAATCTGTTTAGAGTATACATACGGAATCCACATGAGTTTAGCACACATCAAAAAAATGAGGGGGGAGAAAAAGCACATGTACCATGTGTACAGTTCAGGATAACCCTACTGAACATTCTAACCAAATATCAAAAACAAAATGGAGGCACACCTGTCTGGTAGAGCAGGCGACTCTTGACCAAGGGTTGTGAGTTCAAGCCCCACATGGGGTATAGACATTACTTTAAAAAAAATAAATGAAATAAAATAAGTAACTTTAAAAATTGGATTATGGAGCCTAAAAGATAATGAATGTAACCTTCCTCCACAATGAAAATGGTAAAATAATGGGTAAAACCTGTAGAAGTGCTATATACATGACATTAAAAAATAATAGTTTAGATTACTATCAATGTGGCATCTTTAAAGTGTATTAGAAGAGAAAAAAGTATTTAAAAGCTAGTTGAATTTGTTACCAACATGCTTAGATGTTTTCTAGAACATTCCATTTTATAAGATGAATGATAATAGCATTAGGAGCAACTGGATTCAGAGATCTCCTTGAATGAACATTACACATCTAAAGTAATTTACCCTATATATTTTAATTGGTGGACCACATGCCATGTACCTTTACTCAAATATGAGGATCGAGTTTAAACTGACTCTCAGCTTGAAGAGAAATTTAAAATTTCAAAACATGTGCATTCCATACCCAATATTTATACTAAATGAATTATATTTAATATACTATCATACAGCTTAACTTGTTCTAGCTATGACTAATTATTGCACAAGGAAGATCTAAATGTCTATAAACCTAAGACTATCAACATTAAATTTTAATTGCTCCAAATACTAAAATGAAATGCATTAAAATAACTGATAAATGGATAAAGGGCTAGATACATGAATAAATAAGTGATAAAACCAATAAAATGTTAATAGTAGAATCTAGGTAGTGAGTATATGACCGCTCCCTGTAAATTTTTTCAATTTTGCTGTGTAGCTGAAAATATTTCCTAATAAATTGTTGGAAAAAACTATTTGACATTTTTTTGGTTATTTATAACTTAAGTTTTGTTTGGTTTTAGGTAGGCATGCTAGGTATGGAGCCCAAGGCGGGGCTTGAACTCAAGACCCTGGGATCAAGACCTGAGCTGAGATCAACAGTCCTACGCTGAACCAACTGAGCCACCCAGGTGCCCCTATAATTTAAGCTTTTAAGGAGAAACATAGACTGGCTACAATGCTACAAGCATTGTAGTTGGGACAAACCTGAATTCAAACCACAGCTCGACCTCTTAAAGAGCTATCTGATCTTAAGTATAATTACTTAACCTCTCTATGCCTACATTTCTTCATCTGCAAAATGGGTTTTACATACCTAATGCAAAGTTAAATTCCTCCTATAAATCAGTGCCAGGCACATAGTAAGCACTCAAAATGTTAGCTGTAATTCATTATGAGATTGCTAATTCTATGCTAAATCAAAAAGGCTCTGTGAGTAAAAATTAAGTAGTAATTTTTTATGTGGTTGGCTTAACACTAATTTGATTATTTTGTGACCATTCCCAAAAGGAAGATTCCTGATAGGAAACTTACTGCTCAACATGCTAAGGTGGGAGGGGCGGGGGGAGTCTAAAAAATCTGAAAAATATTGCTCAATCGATAGTACAGTATTGTTCTCCGTCGGAAAAAAAATCATTCGGAATTAAATAAGAAAAGTTTCAAGACAAACTTTAAAAGGCACTCAACAACTCCCAATTGGCTTCACCTCTGCAGGCTGGTTGGGTACATCCTTGCTATAACAAAACTTGTCATACTCTCCCACGTTCTTAATTGTTGGTAAAGAGGCTAGACTAGAACATGACATTTAGAGTTGCCAAAATCTCTCTAAATCAGGACATGCCAACGACCCCACTTCTTCACAGGTAAGAGCACCACCTCCACCTTGGTCTTGATAACGGTTATGGGGGGAGGGGAAAGGAGGTAGGAAAATGAATTCGCGATGGTGTTACTGAAGAACCCTCCAGGTTATTCCTCTTGAGACCCGTCCACGACTTATTCCCGCCACTACCACTACCACCCCCACCCTGACCTCTCCCCAGTTAAACTTCGAGACTCTGATTTACTAAAGATGCACTTAAGAATGTGACACCTTCCCTCCCCTAGCCCACATAACCCACCCCCAGTGCTGGGGGGGGGGGAAGCAAACAACAACCCCCGCCCCTCCCCCTCCTAACCAGCAGCAAATCTTTGTCCCACCTGCCGAAGGACCACTCTCCAGCGCGCTCCTGACCCAAGGTTGCCTCAGTCCCGCCCGCAACCGCCCCCCAACCGGGCCTCGACGACCCCTCCACGAGCCTGCGCTTGGCCCATTCCCGGCCCCGGGACGCGACTCCCGCCCCGCCCCCCGCCGCCCGAGTTCTGCCTCACCTCACCTACCCTCTTTCGGGGGCCGGACTCCACCTCTCTCTCCGCCATGTTGGGCCCCGCTCGGAACCGCTGCGGCTCCCGGCGCGGTGGCGGCGGAACCTCTCGGGCCCCCGGCCCCCGCCCACACTGCAGGCACGGCCGCCTCGCGGCAGCTTCTCCGAACCCGTCCGGGCCTGGCGCTGAGAGTGGGGAGGGGGCGGATGCCGCGCGCTGGGTCGGAGATCCAGAGATCCCACGGGTGCGCGCGTGGGCGGTAGGGCCTGCCCGGGAAAGGGGGGGCCGGTACTCGGGGGGTTAATGGCCTCCAAGGGGCCCCGTGAGTAGGATTATTTTCTCTCAGAGAAATTCCTCCGCCTGCGGTTTCTTAAAGGGATCACCAAACCAGCCCCTTGCGCGCGCCCCAGATGCGCAGGCGCACCTTAAGCCCCTCCTTCCTTTCCCACCAAGCCCCCGGTCCTGAGCGTGCGCGGTGAGTGGCCAAGGGTAGGCCAAATCCTGCAAGTCTCTTTGCTGCCAGCAGCTGCTCCCACCACTCAACTATGGCCGCTGCCTTAAAGGGGCCATGACGCAGTGATGAAGGAGGAATGAAAGAAATTAATGAAATGACTATCTGGAGAATTGGGTGAAATGTCAGTGAGGGGTCCAGATCATCATCTTACACCTGACTATGGAGATACCATTGTAAAGGGAAAATGATGGTGACCTGAAGTTCTCAGTGGACCTCTGAACATGAAGAATCCCAACCAATGAGGGAACAAGCCAGTCATCTCAAGGAGACCCAGCTTTACTTCCTTTAGATAGCCTGATCTGAAGAAAGGGCATGGAATATTAAGGGTCAACTCTGACAGCCTAACCTCAAAATCAGATCCTGTAGTGTTTTTGAAGACCAAACCAACAACTGGAGGTTACTTCCTCGATAGTAATTTGTCCTTAGAATATCTAAATCGAGAAGAATCTCAGGAAGCATCTACTCCAATACTCCCAATGGTAAAATTGCTGCCTGGTCCAGAAAAGTAATTTGCCTCAAGGCGCCTAAATGCTGGTGTGAATTTAGAATCAAGATTTGAGCAACAGCCTTCCAGGCTTTTCAATGTACCAACCTGTCTTCAAAGCAAAAGATAAATCAGTTTTCATCTAGGGGATCAGAAATGGAAGGTCCATGATACTGCAAGAATATTTAATTCGTCTCTGAAGACGTGTGATGATTTGCAGATATTGTGTGTCCTTATTCACCTCCATTCAAGAAGCTTTGAGACTCTGACTTAAAGGATGACCATGTTATTTCCAAGCAGAAAACGGGGAAGTAAATTTGGGTCTATCTTGCCTTAAAATGGAAGCTGAAGAAGACTGAAGAGAATGGGGGCTTGATTTATTCCTCTTCATACCTTCCAGTTCCTTAGCCTCAGGTGGAGAAAAATTGCTCTAACAGAGTTCATAATAATAGCTTAAAAACAATCAAATAAGAAATACAAAGAAGCTGCCTCTTGAAGGTCATTCCCCCACAGCAAGAAACATTCAAATGCAAATGAGCAACTCCTAAAATCACAGGATAATGAGAGATAATTTATGACTTGTGTGTGTCACTTGGTAGCTTTTTGAAACTGAAAAGTTTCCTAATCCATCACATTTTGCTGGAAACTATCTGTGAAATTGCTGGAAGTATCCATGCTGGTCCTTGTTTAGGCCTCTTCATCTTTAATTTCACTTTTTGGTAGAAAAGAGAAAAGGACAAAAGAATGTGTTTTTCAGCTGGAATTTTTAAAACATGTCAGACCCTTTAGTTACATGTTTAGGACAAAAAGGAAATAAACAGAGAAACCAAGAAAAGAGTTTTAGAGAATGTGGGTACATGAAAGGTCTAGTGGTTTCCACCTGTTTTACAGGCAGTGGAATACTCCCATCTAATAAAATCTGACAGCTTAAAATGGAGTTGCTAAGTTTGTAGTGGAGATGGGAACCCATAAACTGCTCACCCATCCTTCCCCTTGTCCTCTCTCTTCCATGCCCCTTCCCACCATTAGAGAAGTGTAGCATATCGCAAAATAGTTGAAAGCCATTGATTTAATCCAACTCCACATTGTAAAGATAGAGCCACTGAGGCTCAGAAACTTGTGTGCATTCACAAAAAGGATTAATAACAGCACCAGGACTGGAACAAGCATCTTGACCCCAAGCCTAGCACTGTCTTCTGTAGCAGACTATTTCTAGAAGTATTAGGAATATGTTGGGTGTTGAACAATAGGCAAGATTTGTGCGTTTCAGGTAATATACAAGCATATCATGAATGTTCAGTGCAATCATCCATATAAGAAGAAGAAAAAAAAAGAAAACCAACACTTAGTGAGCACTGCAAGGTTAATCACATTATCCTAATTTTACAGAGGGATTTCTACAGGTTAAATGACTAGTACAAGGTCATTCAGCAGAGAAACCAAGCCAGAATTCAAAGGCTTTTCTTTCTAGCTTATTCAAATATATCATAAACTAGAGGTTCCAGATTGGGTGCCTTGCAGACAAATCTTCCCCACAGACATGTATTTGGTTTGCACCATGTATAGCTATGTGATCTTGGTCAAGTTACTTGCTCAATGCCCCAGTTTCCTCATCTGTAAAACGGGTTGTTGGGAGAATTAGTTAATATTTCTAAATCTCTTAGAACCCTTTTGATTCCTAGCATTATAAGAATATATTATTTTATATATTCTAAATTTTTTATTTTTTAAATTATATGCCAGCGTTTCAAATGGGATTATGTCATGTACAAATCCAATTTTCTGACTTCTTTTTTAAAAAAAGGAGAGTATAATGGTATAATACTTTGCAAATATCAAGCTGATTCATTTTAATTTTCTTCTTTAAATCATGTTCCTTCATAGACTCTTGCCTGAAGTAGAGCTCTGAGACTTACTTCCCTAATCAGGAGAGAGTAGAATAGTCTTAGTGGAGAGAAAAAGAATTTGCTAAATTTCCTTAATTCTATTTAACTTACAAAATTCAGCACATAGTAAGAATCTCATTTCTCCCAAACTCCGGAAGAGATGCTCCTTTCTTCTAAGATAAGCCATGAAGCTGTGACATAGGGAAGTAAAAGAAAAGCCTGACTCTTAAAGAGTGGAGGGAAGAAGAAGGAAAAGAGAGGCAGTGATTGAGAGACAAATGCCTCTGTCTTCCTACTCTAGCTCTTCAAATAGAAAGCACTTTTGTTTTGCTTCTGTTTGGAATTCCAGGTAGAGATGATTTGCAGACTGTATCCACACCAATAGGCAAACAGCCACATACAAATAAAAATAATGGCCTTGTGCAATTGGGAAAAGAGAGAAGGCCTGCATTGAGCCCCTCGGAGTGTCTGTCAGTTAGGGGTGAATCCAATTTTCGTGGGTCTTGAAGCTTATGTGATGGGGGCAGGGAGGAAATTTTTTAAAGAAGTAGAACACAAATTTCCATATACAAAATTCGATAAAGGGACTTGGAAGAAGTTCTGCACATGAGTGGCCCATAACCCCACTGTGATTTAGAATGTATCCAGACGTTCTCACACGCCCTGGGGAGGCATAGGGAAGGTAGCCATGAGATTACCTGGCAAGTATAGGGGGAAGTAGCTCTGTAGATCTCATCCAACCTAGAACAAAAAGTAGTAACACCCAGACCTCAGGAAGAGATAGGGTTTGCCTCCAGGCTCTTAATAAGCTTAGAGAGGCCTGGCTACAAGATACACCACTCACTGACCAATAGGTTGCTGTGCATCCAGAGAAGTCAAAATATAGTACAAGGACACCAAATGGATCCAAGGTCTCAAGCTTCTTCCACACATTAACAGCTCATACATGCAGATGTCATCTTAGGGACATGTGCAGAGGTAAAGATCAGCTATAAAAGACTTGGAGTTTCTTCCCAAAAGAGGTTATTACCTAGAGGAATTCTATCCATTAGATTAAAATACGTTTAAAACAAAATTGAACATTTAGATACATTAGATAAAATCAGAGGATGTTGAAAAGAAAATATAACAGGGCGTTGGGATAAAAAGTGACCGGAGGAGGGCTACCTTAGTTGGTTAGTTAGTTAGTTAGTTAGTTAGTTAGTTAGTTAGTTAGTTAGTTGGTTGGTTAGTTTCTGAAGAACTTCTTGGGGCGCCTGGGTGGCTCAGTCGTTAAGCGTCTGCCCTTGGCTCAGGTCATGGTCCCAGGGTCCTGGGATCGAGCCCCACATCGGGCTCCCTGCTCAGCGGGAAGCCTGCTTCTCCCTCTCCCACTCCCCCTGCTTGTGTTCCCTCTCTCGCTGTCAAATAAATACTAAAAATAAAAATCTTTAAAAACTTCTTATCACTGGTTGTGAGAACTTGAACAAGTAGAGAGGAAGGTGGGTGTCCCTTTAGTTGTGGAATGCTGCTTGTAGAGGGACACCATCCTTCTTTCCCTGCTACCTGGTGGGATAGTTTCAAGAATTCCACAATTAGGGGCGCCTGGGTGGCTCAGTCGGTTAAGTATCTGCCTTCAGCTCAGATCATGATCTCAGGGTCCTGGGATTGAGCCCTGCATCAGGCTCCCTGCTCAGTGGGGAGTCTGCTTCTCCCTCTCCCTCTGCCCCTCCCCCTGCTCCTGCACACGCGCGCTCTCTCTCTCTTTCTCACTCTCTCAGATAAATAAATAAAATCTTAAAAAAAAAGAATAGGGGTTCTCTGTCAGCCACTGAGTGACCATGAGCCAGTCCCCTTACCTTTATTGGCCTCAGTGTTCTCATAATGTTAAATGATTAGAATACCTCAGGTAGGGCCTCATTGACAGCTCCACTTACTTGGTAATGGCTGCTGGGGGCATTGTGTAGAAAATATCTGTTGGGCCACATTTAGGTTCAATAATTGATTGGTGATGTCTGCCACTGATGAAGGGTGGAAGCAACATCATCCATCATATATGCCATCCCTTGGCTAAATACTCTATTATTTCCAATTCTAGATTTCTTTGATTCTGTCATTTTTTATGACTGCTATAGAGATATACCCCAATTTAATCTCACTGTTTTGAGTATTTGCCTTTGTGCCAATGGGCATGGAGAGAAGAAGAAACAAAAAGAAAAAAAATTGATATTCCAATTTGACACTGCCCTTTGAGTAATGAAGACCCAGAAATCTGGTCTACTGCTTCTCTT